TTTTTTTTTTTTTTTTTTTTTTTTTTTTTTTAAGTGTCGTTTTTGTCTTGATCTGTTTGTTATTGGCTACGCTTTTCTTTCATCCGTGCTTTTAGTCACTTTTGAAGGTCGTGTGACTATTATCAATTCTATTGAACCACAATTTGCCGAACAATATTTCATTCTTTCATCTTAAACAATTTAAAAACCAGAACCGAGTTTCAAACCACACATAACGTAACATAAAACAAAGTGTTATACTTGCAAGTGTTATATACTTTTTCAGTAAGAAACAAAATTTCTCTATACTGTCATTTTTTGAGATTCGTAAATAAATAAAAATCATACAGGGTTATTTATTTTAAAGTAGGATGCCAATATTGACATTGTGTCCTTCGCATAAAATTGTGTCAATACACATGAGGAAACATGTGTAGTATTGAATATTGAATTTATCACACCATTGAATATAATTTTATTACCAGTGGAACATTAAATCCTTCTGTCTCTAGTAATTAGTTTTTGTTAATGAGCCCACAACAAAACTTTGCCATTTGATGAATGCTCAATTCGAATGTAATATTGCAACAATATCGACAACAACTCACCATTTTGCATTAAATAATTACACCTCAATTATATTTTTTGCAATTCCATATTGAACAAAGCTAATCAATTTCTTTTGCGGCGGATTGAAACTTAAATTAAAGCGCTAAATGTATGAATCGTTATCAATTCTTTAATAAATATTGATTATATTACACATCATATAACTATAAAACAATATATTACAAACAAAAGAAATATATATTAAAGTCCGTAATTGTAATTTTTATGTAATAATGTTACGTTATTTATATTTATATTATACATTTTTATTTTGCACGTTGTTAGATTCAATAAATTAAAACAAGCGTGAGCCATTCAGATATTTCATGTGCTTGTCTGAACGCATTCGATTTCCTCTCACTGGCCGACACACAACGGTGAATGGTGAGAGAGCGAAAATCACGCGGGAAATCTAGTCAAAGATACAAAGTTGTGCTTAATTGACCGTCTCTTACGTTCTGACCATCCATCCCTTCTTTCTCGAGCTTCGAAATATTTTTAGCCCCGGAATACGGCGTAATTACAGCCAAGGGATTAAACTTCTCTCAACTTCTCTCTCTCTCTCTCTCTTCTCCTCGTTGTCGAGTCCTTGCCGCCGAGGTTCCGCATTCTCGGTATCTTTAATCCCTCCGAGGATGACGCCTGGGAAGGGGTTAAGCCGCGAGAAGGACAAAAATGCGGGTATTCTGCAGCCTTAAGTCAGATTACGTCGCTTTCGCTCGACCTCTTGTACCCAGCAAACGCTACTTGCAATTAATCATTACTCAACAGTTTCTCGCGAACAAGATACGAATACAAAGATAGAGTCAAACAATGTAGTTTAGAATTATAAAAGAGAAAGAGAGAGATATAAACTTGTATATATAATACCAACAATGAAACAAATGCGATCAACTTTAAAGTTGACAATTTTAATTTAAAAGATCAAACCAATAAATATAATCAATGATTTAATTTAAATAACAATGATTTTCATGAGTTTTCTTTAGAAAAAAGAAAGAGATTGCGCAAAATTAATATACGCACTTTAGTTCAAGAGATTACAAAACTTGACGCAACAACGCACCTATATAGAAAGCTTAGAGAAACTGTCTGTTTATATATATATTTGAAGTTACTCTATCACATATATATGTCGAGATGCGTCAATAGCAAGAAAGAAGTACAAGTTGTTCCTTTTCAAGGGACTTCTGAAGAGTAAGAACAATCTTGTCTCTCTTGCACTTCTTCAAGTAAACTTCTGAACGGTTTTCTTGCAACGATTACAACTATCTTACAATCTGTTGACTACATATACGGTAAAAAAAACTTATCTAAGCTAAGCGACTATTTGTACAAACTGGAAAATTGCAGTGGGTCCTGCAAATAAATGAGAGATGCGCATTCTAGATTAATTAAACTATGTATATTTTTCGGTTGACAGCATGTTAATGGCCGCGAACAAAAACAATTTTATGTGCAATCCAACTGCACGATCTGCACGCGTCTCATTATAAATTTAACAATTTGTGCGTGTATTATACCGATGGTTGCCGGCAATAAAATTTGCATTTTTGGAATGATATATTTAATCGGTTACTTTTGCATGTTTAATGGCTTATAAAACCACATCGCGCCGCGTATGTTCGAGTATTTGTCATAAAGCTGCCATTGTCATAAAGCTTTCATTGTTTTAAGCTTCCGCGTCTATGCTGTTTGTTCGAGAATGTGATGATATACATTTTCCAGGAGGAAGAAGAAAGACCGACATAACGTTCTCTCTTTTTTCTCTTGACAATGATTTACAATAAATATTCAGAATTGAAAGTTGAAATTAAATTATGTTTTAATTAGTGAATTAAAACATTTTTTATAGTGCGATTTTTGTTCTCACATATATATAACTCGAATGCAACTAGTCGAGACGCTAATGATCACGTTCATAAATAGAAGAGAACGCGATGTCGAGACGAAGGGTGGCTCCCGACAGGATGCAACAACCCCTGATTTCCAACCCAGTCATCCACCTATCCACTCTCCTCCCGTTCTTCTTAAGAGGGTCACGACAGTGACCTTTGTAATGGCGTTATCACGCCGAGTCGATATTGCGGCTTGATATAGATAAAAGTACCACTTGCATTTATATAGCAAACTCATCGCGTAGTATCGCGAAATAGCTTTCGCGTTGCCGATACAATAATAACTCGCGTTGTTAATTACGCGGGTACCCTTACGAAAAAGAACTATTGGCAGTAATATATTGCGGCAGTGGTACGAAAAAATTACTGGCATTCTGTGTAATTGCCAGTAATATTCTCAGTGATTCCTGTAATACCTAATAATATTCTTATCTGATTGTCAGTAATATTTATATTACTGACTTTATTTATATGTAATCGGCAGTAGTTCTTTTTCGTAAAGGTACCAATTACATAACGTTATGTATTGTATCATATCTTGTATTTTAAGTATCACAAACGCAAAAAAAAAATAATACTATCTTATCATAAAATTGCAAGAAAAAATTGTGATATTTCTTGTGCAATATATTTTGTATTTTAACAGAAAACAATAGAAATATATATAATAAAACATAGAATAAATATATCTTTTTTATAATTCAGAGAAAGGACAAATATATCTTTTTTATGTTTTAAACTACAATATGTTTAATCAAAGCTATAATATATATATATATATCTCTCTCTCTCTCTTTCTCGCAGAGAGACAATTGCATACACATTTAAGAGTGATACAGCGACACAATGATACGATTTAACAATAACATTTTGTGAAAATATCCACAAATGAATTTTTTACGATCCGATCTCTCACGATTGAAAAATTACTCATGTCGAAGTATATTTGTAGATAATGTATCGTTGAAGCGTGTTATTAGCATTATCGTTCGCGTGATGCTTCCGCGCGAGAACGATGCGCCACGTAGAGCGGTAATGATAACACAATGCATATTTTACAGGGTATCGGGTACCGGAGGAATTACCTATGAAACATGTTGCGCTGCGTTTGAGTCTATGAATATGAGATGCGCATCGAGAGAGATGCACTTGCGTGATGTGCGCATATACGATATACGCACGTGACATCTTGCATGTATTTTCGGTACAGAGTACCGCAAATTATGCAACAAAAAGCTCAATTACTAGGTTCGGACGAGATGAGTTTCAGTTAGATTATTAATCAAGTCAATGTGTGAGTGTGCGTATTCGTGTATATATTCGCATACAAATGTTCCCGATAATTGTTATAAACGACGTAGATAAAACAAATGACAAACCATATTGAAAAAAATAAATAAATAAATAAATAGCCGTCAAATTTTGCCGAAACATATCGAATATTCGTATTTT